AAAGCCAAGCCAAGCCAAGCCAAGCCAAGCAAAGCCAAGTGAAGCCCAGCAAAGCCAAGCAAACCAAGTGAAGCCAAGTGAAGCAAAGCGAAATGAAGCGAAGCGAAGCCAAGCAATGTGAAGCAAAGCCATGCAAAGCAATGCGAAACGAAGCGAAGCGAAGCCAAGCAAAGCCAAGCGTAGCAAAGCCAAGCAAAGCCAAGCCAAGCAAAGCCAAGCCAAGCCAAGCGAAGCCAAGCGAGGCGAAGCGAAGCAGAGTGAAGCCAAGCAAAGCAAAGCCAAGCGAATCCAAGCAAAGCCAAGCCAAGCGAAGCCAAGGTAAGTCAAGCGACGAAAAGCAAAGCCAGGAGAAGCGAAGTGAAGCGAAGCCAAGCGATGCCAAGCGATGCCAAGCGAAGCCAAGCGAAACAAAGCTAAGCGAAGCAAAGCCAAGCGAGCGAAGCGAAGCGAAGCCAAGTGAAGCCAAGCTAAGCAAAGCAAAGCCAAGCGAAATGAAGAGAAGCCAAGCGAAGCAAGGCGAAGCCATGCAAAGCAAAGCAAAGCCAAGCGGAGCGAAGCGAAGCACAGCGAAGCCAACCCAAGCCAAGCCAAGCCAAGCCAAGTGAAGCCAAGCAAAGCCAAGCGAAGCCAAGCGAAGCAAAGCGAGGCCAAGCGAAGCGAAGCAAAGCGAAGCGAAGCAAAGTGAAGCGCAGCCAAGCGAAGCCAAGCAAAGCAAAGCCAAGCGAGCTGAACCCAAGCGAAGCGAAGCCAAGTCAAGCGAAGCAAAGCCAAGCGAAGCCAAGCGAAGCGAAGCGAAGCCAAGCAAAGCGTAGCCATGCCAAGCGAAGCCAAGCAAAGCCAAGCGAAGCCAAGCCAAGCAAAGCCAAGCGAAGCCAAGCAAAGCCAAGCAAATCCAAGCGATGGCAAGCAAAGCCAAGCAAAGCCAAGCCATGCCAAGCAAAGCCAAGCAAAGGGAAGCCAAGCAAAGCGAAGCGAAGCCAAGCGAAGCAAAGCGAAGCCAAGCAAAGCAAAGCAAAGCCAAGCGAAGCCAAGCGAAGCCAAGCAATGCGAAGCGAAGCGAAGGCAAGCGAAGCAAAGCAAAGCCAAGCCAAGCGAAGCGAAGCCAAGCAAAGCCAAGCGAAGGGAAGCGAAGCCAAGTGAAGTCAAGCAAAGCCAAGTGAAGTCAAGCAAAGCCAAGCAAAGCCAGGCGCAACCAAGCCAGGCGAAGCCAAGCGAAGCCAAGCGAATCCAAGCAAAGCCAATCGAAGCCAAGCGAAACCGAGCGAAGCCAAGCGAAGCCAAGGGAAGCCAAGCGAAGCCAAACAAAGCCAAGCAAAGCCAAGCGAAGCCAAGTGAAGCGAAGCGAAGTGAAGCCAAGCGAAGCTAAGCAAAGCCAAGCAAAGCCAAGCGAAGCGAAGCAAAGCCAAGCGAAGCAAAGCGAAGCCAAGCGAAGCCTAGTGAAGCCAAGCAAAGCCAAGCGAAGCCAAGCGAAGCCAAGCAAAGCGAAGCAAAGCCAAGCGAAGCCAAGCGAAGCCAAGCCAAGCGAAGCTAAGCGAAGCCAAGCTAAGCCAAGCAAAGCTAAGCGAAGCCAAGCAAAGTGAAACCAGGCAAAGTGAAGCGAAGCCAAGTGAATCGAAGCGAAGCCTAGCGAAGCAAAGCGAAGCCAAGCCAAGCAAAGCGAAGCCAGGCGAAGCAAGGCTAAGCCAAGCCAAGCCAAGTTAAGCCAAGCCAAGCAAAGCCAAGCAAAGCCAAGCGAAGCCACGCAAAGCCAAGCGATGGCAAGCAAAGCCAAGCGAAGCAAAGCGAAGCCAAGCCAAGCCAAGCGAAGCCAAGCAAAGCGAAGCAAAGCCAAGCAAAGCCAAGCAAAGTCAATCGAAGCCAAGCCAAGCGAAGCCAAGCGAAGCCAAGGGAAGCCAAGCAAAGCCAAGTGAAGCGAAGCCAAGCGAAGCCAAGCAAAGCCAACCGATGCCAAGCGAACCCAAGAGAAGCCAAGCGAAGCCAAGCCAAACGAAGCCAAGCAAAGCCAAGCCAAACGAAGCCAAGCGAAGCGAAGCCAAGTTAAGCCAAGCGAAGCCAAGAGAAGCAAAGCCATGCCAAGCCAGGTGAAGCGATGCCAAGCGAAGCAAAGCGAAGCCATGCAAAGCCAAGCGAAGCCAAGCGAAGCGAACAGAAGCCAAGCGAAGCCATGTGAAGCGAAGTCAAGTGGAGCGAATCCAAGCCAAGCGAAGCCAAGCGAAGCCAAGCGAAGCCAAGCGAAGCGAAACCAAGTGAAACCAAGCGAAGCGAAGCAAAGTCAAGCGAAGCGAAGCCAAGCCAAGCGAAGCGAAGCGAAGCCAAGTGAAGCCAAGCGAACCCAAGCGAAGCGAAGCCAAGCCAAGCAAAGCCAAGCCAAGCCAAGCGAATTGAAGCCAAGCGAAGCCAACCGAATCCAGGTGAAGCCAAGTGAAGAGAAGCAAAGCCAAGTGAAGCAAAGCCAAGCGAAGCCAAGGGAAGCGAAGGAAAGCGAAGCCAAGCAAAGCGAAGCCAAGCGAAGCCAAGTGAAGCCAAGCCAAGCCAAGCGAAGCCAAGCAAAGCCAAGCCAAGCGAAGCCAAGCCAAGCGAAGCCAAGCTAAGCCAAGCGAAGCAAAGTGAAGCCAAGTGAAGCCAAGCGAAGCAAAGCCAAGCCAAGCCAAGCCAAGCCAAGCCAAGCGAAGCCAAGCGAAGCCCAGCAAAGCCAAGCAAACCAAGCGAAGCCAAGTAAAGCAAAGCGAAATGAAGCGAAGCGAAGCCAAGCAATGTGAAGCGAAGCCATGCAAAGCAATGCAAAACGAAGTGAAGCGAAGCCAAGCAAAGCCAAGCGTAGCGAAGCCAAGCAAGGCCAAGCCAAGCAAAGCCAAGCCAAGCCAAGTGCAGCCAAGCGAGGCGAAGCGAAGCAGAGTGAAGCCAAGCAAAGCAAAGCCAAGCGAAGCCAAGCAAAGCCAAGCCAAGCAAAGCCAAGGTAATCCAAGCGACGAAAAGCAAAGCCAGGAGAAGTGAAGTGAAGCGAAGCCAAGCGATGCCAAGTGATGCCAAGCGAAGCCAAGCGAAACAAAGCTAAGCGAAGCAAAGCCAAGTGAGCGAAGCCAAGCTAAGCGAAGCAAAGCCAAGCGAAATGAAGAGAATCCAAGCGAAGCAAGGGGAAGCCAAGCAAAGCCAAGCAGAGCCAAGCGGAGCGAAGCGAAGCACAGCGAAGCCAAGCCAAGCCAAGCCAAGCCAAGTGAAGCCAAGCAAAGCCAAGCGAAGCCAAGCAAAGCAAAGCGAGGCCAAGCGAAGCGAAGCAAAGCGAAGCAAAGCGAAGCGAAGCGAAGCAAAGTGAAGCGCAGCCAAGCGAAGCAAAGCGAAGCCAAGCAAAGCAAAGCCAAGCGAACTGAAGCCAAGCGAAGCGAAGCCAAGTCAAGCGAAGCAAAGCCAAGCGAAGCCAAGCGAAGCCAAGCGAAGCGAAGCGAAGCCAAGCAAAGCGTAGCCAAGCCAAGCGAAGCCAAGCGAAGCCAAGCTAAGCCAAGCCAAGCCAAGCCAAGCAAAGCCAAGCAAAGCCAAGCAAAGCCAAGCGAATCCAAGCGATGGCAAGCAAAGCCAATCAAAGCCAAGCAAAGCCAAGCCAAGCCAAGCAAAGCCAAGCGAAGCCAAGCAAAGCGAAGGGGAGCAAAGTGAAGCGCAGCGAAGCCAATCGAAGTGAAGCCAAGCCAAGCCAAGCCAAGCGAAGCAAGGCGCTGTGAAGCCAAGCGAGTTGAAGCGAAGCCAAGCCAAGCGTAGCCAAGCCAAGCGAAGCGAAGCCAAGCCAAGCCAAGCCAAGGCAAGCCAAGGCAAGCCAAGGCAAGCCAAGCCAAGCAAAGCCAAGCGAAGCAAAGCCAAGTGAAGCGAAGCAAAGCCAAGCAAAGCCAAGCGAAGCCAAGCAATGCCAAGCGAAGCCAAGCGAAGCGAAGCAAAGCCAAGCGAAGCCAAGGAAAGCCAAGCGAAGCCAAGTGATGCGAAGTGAAGCCAAGCAAAGCGAAGCGAACCCAATCGAAGCCAAGCAAAGCCAAGCGAAGCCAAGCCAAGCGAAGCAAAGCCAAGCAAAGCGAAGCGAAGCCAGGCGAAGCCAATCAAAGCCAAGCGAAGCCAAGCAAAGCTAAGCGAAGCGAAGCCAAGCGAAGCGAAGCCAAGCAAAGCCAAAGGAAGCCAAGCGAACCCAAGCGAAGCCAAGCGAAGCCAAGCAAAGCCAAGCGAAACCAAGTGAAGCCAAGCGAAGCGAAGCCAAGCAAAACCAGGCAAAGCGAAGCGAAGCCAAGGGAAGCCAAGCAAAGCGAAGCGAAGCCAAGCGAAGCCAAACAAAGCAAAGCAAAGCCAAGCCAATTGAAGCCAAGCCAAGCGAAGCCAAGCAATGCGAAGCGAAGCCAAGCGGAGCGAAACGAAGTGAAGCGAAGCGAAGCAAAGCCAAGCGAAGCGAAGCGAAGCCAACCGAAGCCAAGTGAAGCCAAGCAAAGCCAAGGAAAGCCAAGCGAAGCCAAGCAAAGCCAAGCGAAGCCAAGCCAAGCGAAGCCAAGCCATGCCAAGCCAAGCGAAGCCAAGCGAAGCCAAGCCAAGCAAAGCCAAGCGAAGCCAAGCAAAGCCAAGTGAGGCCAAGTGATGCCCAGCGAAGCCAAGCAAAGCGAAGCCAAGCGTAGCGAAGCAAAGCCAAGCGAAGTGAAGTGAAGCGAAGCAAAGCCAAGCAAAACCAAGCAAAACCAAGCGAAGCCAAGCGCAGCAAAGCGAAGCTAAGCAAAGCCAAGCGAACCCAAGCGAAGCGAAGCGAAGCCTTGCCAAGCCAAGCCAAGTGAAGCCAAGTGAAGCCAAGCAAAGATTCCCCCCCTATAGGAACCCCAACTTTGACATTTGTCTGTACCCAACCAATCCATCCAAGTTGGCCACCCTTGCCAACCTAGCTTGGTTGTTCCCAACCAATTTGCAGCTGCTACAGTAGAGTGACGAATTTCCCCAACCCCAAAGGTCCCAACTCCTTATAGAGTCACCCCACAACTTCACTTTGTAACCGTCGCAATTGTAACGCAAGCTCATGAACTTTGAATCTTCATAGCTTTCGCGTTCTTGCTCCGATTGAAGCGATTCTTGTTGCGTCTGAAAGATCTTCTCAAGATCTATCACAAAATACCTGCTCAAACAAAATAACACAAAACACATTCCCAATCTCCAGAACACACCACACACAAATTCTTGCACACGTTCAAAACCACACATGCAAGTTGAAAACATGGGATGGGAGGCAGACAGAATGTGATAGCATATGATGACATCACACAACAATCTCCCCCTCTGGATGCCAACCATCATGCACCATACCAACATCTCAAGCATGCATACTCAATGCACACTCATCCTAGCAAGCTTCATGCCCTTCCAATGATCCGCCTCCGCCAGACGCTTGGTGAAAATATCTGCTGCTTGCTAATGGGTCTTCACTATCTCCAGCCACACCTCCTTATCAAGGAGTCTCCTCACCCAATGCCACTTAGGCCTTATGTGTTTTGTCAGTCCATGCAGACAAGCATTCTTGGCCAGCTTCACTGTAGACTCATTGTCACAGAACACAACTGTCGGCTCCTCCTGACCAACTCCCAACTCCTCCAACAAGCGCCTCAGCCACACCACTTCCTTGACCCCATGGTGTAAGGCCATGTACTCAGTCTCACATGAGGACAATCCCACCTCATTCTGCTTCTTGCTACGCCAGCTCACAGCACCACCTCCTAGCAAGCACACATAACCCCCAATGCTGGTGCCATCCGCTTTCACTGAGTTGAAGCTAGCGTCAGTATAGCAACTCAAGAGCATCTCTCCACTCTTCACATCTGCAGCACCTCTCTGCAACCGCTGCCTCACTCCACTGTACTCCAATCCCACTGATGCCGTAGTGCTCACATAGCGGACCAACCTCTTGGCCGCTTCCAGCTGCTCATGACTAGGGCGTGAGACCACACTAGCCAAGTGTGATGTAGCAAATGCAATGTCAGGCCGTGTATGATTTGCAGCATAATTCAACGACCCAACCATCGAATGAAACAGCTTCCTGTCACTCTCACCCACTACCTCCTCATCAGCACTTGGCTCCACAGTAAACCCCGAAGGTAGTGGTGTTGCTGGCTTTCCCCCATCTTGCAGCCCATACTTCTCAGCCAACCCCTCACAGTACTTCCTCTGGTGCAACCTTAGCACACCCTTTTCCACATCTCTCTCCACATGCATCCCCAGGTAGTACTTCACCTCACCCATCTTGGAACACTTGAACTGCATCTCTAGCATCTGCTCTGCGCTGTCCAGCAAAGCAGTTGACGCAGAAAAGAGAAGGATATCATCCACATACACCAAGAGCATGAGGATTTCATCCTTCTCCTGCAACAGGAATATGCTGGGGTCACACTCACTCTTCTTGAAACCCCCAGCCAACAACGCCTCCTCCAACTTGTGATACCATGCACGAGGCGCCTGCTTAAGGCCATAGATGGCCTTCTTCAGCCTGCAGACCCTTCCGCTCCCATCATCCAGCCCCTCTCGCTGCTTCATGTACACCTCCTCCAGAATGATCCCATTCAGAAAGGCAGTCACAATGTCCATCTGCCGTATCTTCCATCCCAAGGAGTGCAGCTATCGCCAACAGCACCCTTAGTGTTGTTCCTTTCCCCACAGGAGCAAACACCTCATCATATTCCTTCCCCTTTGTCTGCTGAAATCCCCGTGCCACAAGCCTAGACTTGTAGCGGGTCAGCTCCCCTTCAGGTCCATACTTGTGCCTGTAGATCATCTTGGAAGTGATTGCCTTCTTCCCAGGAGGCAAGTCACACAGGTCCCATGTCTCGTTCTCAATCAGGGACCCGAACTCCTCATCCTCACTCGCCTTCCACTTCTCCCCATTTGGTCCATTCAAGGCCTCCTCTCGAGTCTTGGGCTCAGGGATTGGTGCCCAGTAGCAGTGAGCGATCTCATCTTCCTCAATCTGCTCAACCACACTCCCAGCCTGCACCACATTCGGCTTGCCTCTTCCCCCATAGGTCAGCCTCACCGGAGGGTGCACATCCCTCCTAGGTCGCTCAGGCGGGTGTGGAACTCGAGGTGGAGACTCATGCTGCTGCTGCTCCACTTCAGCTGCTCCCCCTTCCTCAGTCACCCCAGACATCTCCTCCTCAGACACTTCAACCAACACTTGTCTTGAAGACCGCTGCACCTCATCTGCCTCCACAATGAGCGGTGTAGATGGAAGCTTCTGTTGCTGCTGCTTCCATTCCTTGTAGTACAGGTACTCAAGAAACTTCACATCCCTTGACACTGTCAGCTTCTGGGTGGTCAAGTCCCATAGCAGCCACCCCTTGTGATCCTTTGCAATCCCCAAGTGCACACCCCACCTTCTTGAAGCCTCCAACTTCCCCCTTTTCTCCTTAGGCACATGAAACACCACCATGCACCCAAATGCCCTCAGCATGTTCACAGCTGGAGCACTCCGATACCACTTGGAAAGATCTTCTCAAGATCTATCGCAAAATACCTGCTCAAACAAAATAACACAAAACACATTCCCAAACTCCAGAACACACCACACACAAATTCTTGCACACGTTCAAAACCACACATGCAAGTTGAAAACATGGGATGGGAGGCAGACAGAATGTGATAGCATATGATGACATCACACAACTAAGCAAAGCCAAGCAAAGCTAAGCCAAGCGAATCCAAGCGAAGCCAAGCAAAGCCAATCAAAGCTAAGCGAAGCCAAGCGAAACGAAGCGAAGCCAAGCGAAGCGAAGCCAAGCAAAGCCAAGCAAAGCAAAGCCAAGCAAAGCCAAGCAAAGCCAGGCGAAGCCAAGCAATGCCAAGCGAAGCCAAGCGAAGCCAAGCCAAGCAAAGCAAAGCCAAGCGAAGCAAAACCAAGCGAAGCCAAGCCAAGCCAAGCTAAGCGAAGCCAAGTGAAGCAAAGCGAAGAGAAGCCAAGCGAAGCCAGGCGAAGAAAAGCGAAGCCAAGTGAAGCGAAGCGAAGACAAGGGAAGCCAAGCCAAGCCAAGCAAAGCCAAACGAAACCAATCGAAGCGAAGCAAAGCCAAGCCAAGGGAAGCCAAGCAAAGCCAAGCACAGCCAAGCGAAGCCAAGTGAAGCCAAGCCAAGCGAAGCTATGCTTAGCCAAGCGAAGCCAAGCGAAGCCAAGCGAAGCAAAGCCAAGCGAAGCCAAGTGAAGCCAAGCGAAGAGAAGGAAAGCGAAGCCAGGCAAAGCAAAGCGATGCCAGGCAAAGCCAAGCGAAGCCAAAAGAAGCCAAGCCAAGCCAAGCAAAGCCAAGCAAAGCGAAGCCAAGCGAAGCCAAGCGCAGCCAAGGGATGCCAAGCAAAGCCAAGCGAAACCAACAAAGCGAAGCAAAGCCAAGAGAAGCCAAGCCAAGCAAAGCCAAGCAAAGCCAAGCGAAGCCAAGGGAAGCCAAGCGAAGCAAAGCAATGCCAAGCGAAGCCAATTGAAGCCAAGCGAAGCCAAGCGAAGCCAAGCAAAGCCAAGTGAAGCCAAGCGAATCGAAGCAAAGCCAAGCGAAGCCAAACGAAACCGGCAAAGCCAAGGGAAGCCTAGCAATGCCAAGCGAAGCCAAGCGAAGACAAGCGAAGCCAAACAGTAGCAAAGCGAAGCTAAGCCAAGCAAAGCGAAGCCAAGCAGAGCCAAGCGAAGCGAAGCCAAACGAGACCAAGCGAAGCCAAGCGAAGACAAGCAAAGCCAAGCAAAGCCAAGCAAAGCCAAGGAAAGCCAAGCGAGGACAAGCGAAGCCAAGCCAAGTGAAGACAAGCAAAGCCAAGCGAAGCCAAGCGAAGCGAAGAGAAGCCAAGCGAAGCCAAGCAAAGCGAAGCCAAGGTAAGCGAAGCAAAGCCAAGCAAATCCATGCGAAGACAAGCAAAGCCAAGCGAAGCCAAGCAAAGCCAAGGGAAGCCAAGCAAATCGAAGCAAAGCCAAGCAAAGCCAAGCGAATCCAAGCGAAGCCAAGTGAAGCCAAACGAAGCGAAGCGAAGCCAAGCCAAGCCAAGCGAAGACATGCAAACCCAAGCAAAGCCAAGCAAAGCCAAGCGAAGCCAAGCAAAGCCAAGCAAAGCCAAGTGAAGCCAAGCGAAGCCAAGCAAAGCAAAGCCAAGCGAAGCGAAGCAAAGCCAAGCGAAGCGAAACGAAGCCAAGAAAAGCCAAGCGAAGCGAAGCGAAGCAAAGCACAGCCAAGCCAAGCCAAGCGAAGCGAAGCCAAGAGAAGCCAAGCAAAGCCAAGCGATGCCAAGCGAAGCCAAGCGAAGCCAAGTGAAGCGAAGCAAAGCCAGGAGAAGCGAAGCAAAGCCAAGCGAAGCGAAGCGAAGCCAAGCCCAGCGAAGCAAAGCCAAGCAAAGCCAAGCGAAGCGAAGTCAATGAAGGCAAGCGAAGCAAAGCAAAGTGAAGCCAAGCAAAGCCAAGGGAAGCCAAGCTAAGCGAAGAGAAGCCAAGCAAAGCCAAGCAAAGCGAAGCCAAGTTTAGCAAAGCAAAGCCAAGCAAGGCCATGCGAAGACAAGCGAAGCCAAGCAAAGCCAAGGGAAGCCAAGCAAATCGAAGCAAAGCCAAGCAAAGCCAAGCGAATCCAAGCGAAGCGAAGCCAAGCAAAGCCAAGTGAAGCCAAGCGAAGCGAAGCCAAACGAAGCGAAGCCAAGCCAAGCAAGGCCAAGCGAAGACATGCGAAGCCAAGAAAAGCCAAGCAAAGCCAAGCAAAGCCAAGCAAAGCCAAGCGAAGCCAAGTGAAGCCAAGCGAAGCCAAGCAAAGCAAAGCGAGGCGAAGCGAAGCGAAGCCAAGCGAAGCCAAGAAAAGCCAAGGGAAGCGAAGCGAAGCAAAGTGAAGCCAAGCCAAGCCAAGCCAAGCGAAGCAAAGCCAAGAGAAGCCAAGCGAAGCCAAGCGATGCCAAGCGAAGCCAAGCAAAGCCAAGCGAAGCCAAGTGAAGCCAAGCAAAGCCAAACGCAGCCAAGTGAAGCGAAGCAAAGCCAGGAGAAGCGAAGCAAAGCCAAGCGAAGCGAAGCCAAGCCAAGCGAAGCAAAGCCAAGCAAAGCCAAGCGAAGCGAAGCCAATGAAGCCAAGCGAAGCAAAGCAAAGCGAAGCCAAGTGAAGCCAAGGGAAGCTGTTGGTGCAACCCTATGGCTTGCACTCGGCTTGTCGTCCTTGTTTGTGTGTGTGCATGCATGGCATGGAATGAATTGTGAGTCTATGTCATTGCTATCCAGTGCTTGTGTGTGTGTTTGAATGGTGTATCACAATGTGGTTTGTGTCGGTCAAGACATTAGCGAGTGTTTACAACTCGCATGTCAAGTCGTCGTTTGTGTGTCGCATGGGTTTTTTCTATTTTGTCGAGTGTGAAGTGTCCATCGCGTCGCAGGTGTGTGCAGCAAGCCCCCATCAACTCAAGAAGAATTTATCTTGCAGATCCTAGACCAAGAGCTCAAGATTTCAAGCCCAAGGGACGCGGATAAATATTAAATAGTGAAAAATAGTAACGCTACTTCGTGTAGTGTTACATTTCACTTGGTGTAGCCCCTTGGAGGGTTGGTTTCGAGACTCTTCATGGTTGGGGACTCTGTGGTGGTGTACCACCAACCTGGAACTCGGCTCTGGGGGTATGTAGAGGCTGGGAACCATCTCCCTCTCGAAATCTTCTTCCTAAGTTTTTTGTACTCCTAAGACTATAGTGGCTGCTGTACCTCCTGCCAGTCAAACCGCCATAGCGTCGTCAAATATTCATGGAATTTCATGATTCAACTTGCTGCTGATAGCCAACAGCAACACGCTTCAGATCCAACTTACAAATCACCGTTTAAGTTAGCCAGCAGATCGTTTTCAATATTTGAAGCCGTCTGACGGAAATCCGACTGTGCTCTCTATCTCTCATTATAGGCACATCTGAGCCTATTGTGACTATAACAAGTGGTATAAGAGCCTCTTGGAGCCGTCTCGACCATGCCTAGACCTGAGGAAGGGGGTGGCAGAGGTGCTGGAGGCAGAGAAGACGCCCAAGCACAAGGTCAACACCAAGATCCACCCGTTGCTCCGGTGCAACCTAGCCTTGGACCCTCTAGGGATGAGCCTAGAGTGTTTGGCCTTGACAAGTTCAACGGTGACAACTTTGCTGAGTGGTCCTTCAATATGGAAAACATCTTTGACCACTATGATCTGCTGGAGGTGATGGAAGGAACGGAGAAGCGCCCCGAGAACGACCCGGAGAAGAGCCCGTGGGTGCGGAAGAGCGCACAAGGCTACCTTCTACTTGGGCAAGCGTTGGGGAGCAGCCAAATCCGTCACATCAAGCCTTTTCAGCGTGAACCAGCAAAGGGACCAAAGGCATGGGCTGCTCTCAAGGGTGTACACGCTCCTGCAACAGCGGCGGTGGCTGTGGTTTTGGAGCGGCAAATGGCGGCACTTCGAATTGACGAAGGCGAACCGGTGGAGGAAGGAGTGCAGAAATTCTTCGACTTGTTGACACGGCTCGAAGGAGCTGACCTGAACTACAGTGACCTTCAAAAGAAGACCAAGCTGCTGGCCTTACTTCCGGACTCATGGTCCTTGCTCATCATCAACCTGAATCGAGATCTGCCCCGTCTCTCACTCGAAGATGTGAAACGGGAAATCTTACAAGAAGATTTTCCGCCGTTGCGAATTGGCGATCGGCTTCACTCCCTCAACGGCCGATCAATCCTTGTTCATGCTTGGCGAGGGGGAGCAGAGGAGCTTCATGGTGGTTTATGTGGATGACATCCTCATATTCTCACCCTCCTCTGACCTTGTGAAGGAGTTGGGACCTTTGGGGGTCGGAGAAATTTGTCACTCTACTGTAACAGCTGCAAATTGGTTGGGAACAACCAAGCTAGGTTGGCAAGGGTGGCCAACTTGGATGGATTGGTTGGGAACAGACAAATGTCA